AACTAGGACAATTTTGAGAGGGACTAAAAAAATTCTACAACTCATATATCAAATCTTTGAGATACTCTTAGACATCTAACTCGGACAAGTTTTTTTGAAAATGAGTTGAAAAAATTTCTTCAACCATCACTAGAAGTACGCCATTAGTTTTAAAATTTTCGAGCATGATCAAAAGTATAAAGTTAACTTCAAATGATCACTGACATCATTAAAATTCAAAGTCAACTTCAACAATATCAAACACCATTGAACTTCAGAGTCAACTACAAAACTTTCCAACTATAGAGGATTTCGGGAGAACCATGTGAGAAATGTTTCAAGCTTCAAGGATTTTCTGAATTCTCCAAAAATAAGCCATCGGACACATCAAAAGTTTGAATCAAAGGCGTTCACTTAAGCTAAGCATGACATGACATTTGACAGTGACATTTTCCAAATTGATTCTCAAAAATTATTTATCTTTGATGATTTTTTAATATGTCAAATGTTTTGTATAAATTTATCTTATGCCTATCGACAAGTATGATATCATGGTGATCAACTGAAGATAGAAAAAAAAAAAGGAGCAAGCAATAGAAGAAATCAACACAAATTAATTTTTTTTTTAAAAAAAACTAACAATTTTATGTGGATGTAAGTATATAAGATTGCCTTAAGATCATCATATTTTTCCATTTAATGAATATGGAGGATTCAAAAGGGGGAGTTGCTCCCCAAATTGACAACTTTTCTGTGGAGGCAGAGAAGTTATTGAAGTTCTTCAGGAAAAAAAACAGTTCTAAATACGTACAACACCTCGTTCAAATCTCCCACAAACAAAGAGTCAGATATTAAACACGAAATTTTCTTAATGGAACAAGTGAAGACATCACTCTCAAAATGTACAAGAATCTAAAAATATATTAAATTACATTTTTTCAGCATCAAGAACTATTGGAAAATATTCACAAAATCCTGTTAATATCTGACAAAGTAATGTGAACCACCCAGAGAGACATCGTATTTATAACCAAAAAGGGTATTGCATCTACAAACACCGAGAGGGATATTGCATCTTCAAATGCTGAAAGGACCATCATATTCAAATGCCAAAAGGGCTATCATCTTCTAGCCGCCAAGAAGGTTGTTACATCTTCAAATGCCAAGATGGTCATTGCATCTTCAAATACTAAGAAGGACATCATGTATAAAAAATGCCAGAGGGCCATTGCATCTTCAAAAAAACAAAAAGGGTTGTTACATCTTTTCATTGCCAAAAGGGCCATTACATATCCAAACCGCCAAGAGGGACATCATATTCAAACACCGAGAAATCCATCATATTCTAGCCGTCGAGAAGGCTGTTACATCTTCAAAATTGTTACATCATATATGCAAATGTCGAGAGTGACATTGCATTCAAGAAGACAAGATGGCCATCATCTTCATACGCCGAGAGGGTCATCATCTTCAACCACCAAGATGACAATCATCTTCCATTTCCAAGAAGGACATTACATATTCAAACTGCCAAGAAGGCCATTGCATCTTCAAATTCCTAGAGGGTCATTACATCTTCATATGAAGAGAGGGCCATCATTTTCAAACGCCGAGAGATCCATTACCTTCAAATGCCGAGAGGGCCATTGCATTCAAGATGCCAAGAGGGCCATCATCTTCATACGCCAAGAAGGACATCATCTTTCATTGACAAGAGGGTCATTACATATTCAAACCACTGAGAGAATATTGCAGGTTCAAATGCCAAGAGGTCCATTGCATTTTCATATGCCGAGAGGACCATCCTTTTCAAACTCTGAAAGGTTCATTATCTTCAAACGCCGAGAGGTCCATTGCATTCTAACTACCTTGAAGACTGTTACATCTTCAATCGCCGAGAGGGCCATCATTTTTATATGTAGAGAGGTCCATTGCATCTTTAAAAACAGAGAGGGTCATTGCATCTTCAAATGCCGAGAGGGCCATCATATTTTAACCGCCGGGACATAGCATTCAAGCCGCCAAAAGGGCCATCATCTTCAAATGCCGAGAGGGCCATTGTATTCAAGCCGCCAAAAGGGACATTGAATCTTCAAACGCTAAGAGGGATACCATCTTCATATGCCAAGAGGGTCATTGCATCTTCAAACGCCATGAGGTCTATTGCATTCATTTGCCGGGAGGACCATTGCATTCAAATGCGGTGAGGGCAACATAATCTTCAACCGCTAAAAAGGCCAATACATCTTCAAACACCGAGAGAGTTATTACTTTTTCCAATGCAAAGAGAGAAACATAATCTTACCAATAAATCTTCGACAACATCATCCCACCATCGCATCAACATTCATCCTTCCAATGGATCATCAATGTAGCAACATCATCTTACTGATCGAGCATCCACATGTTCATCATCATGTAGAAACATCATTCTATCAATGAATTATCGTCATTAATAATATTACATTATCGATAAAGTCATCATCCTGTTGTATCATATCAATTCATCACCTGTTGTGTCAAATTTATTTCAGTATTTGTCAAGACATCCAAGAGGATGAATTCTCAAATCAAACCACAGGTGCGGATGACATCAAAAGAGATGCAACACAATGTGGAACTTTTTCTTAGTAGCGAACTAGTCCAAACAGGAGTATCAAACTCTTAAGACGCGAGCTGAGGAGCAACTTCCACTAGAATCAGTCCACACCCCTATCAGAAGGCATGTGGGTTTTTCTTTGGTTTTATTAGTTTCAATTTTGCATCCGGGAACTTTTCACTCTCAATGGAGGGAACTTTGCAATCTGAGTGACAATACATCAAGAGCTTTGGAAATTATGTTTGTGTAAGTTCTTAATTATGGATCTGAAGTGTACCACATTCATAGCTAAAACGTTGTAAGCCTCTTTTTCATACTCAACTTACTTGTCCCTCTTCCTGAAACAAAGGTTATCTTGCATACTATACTTTCTTTTCAACCGATCGAGTCGAACTACAAACAACATGTTCTTAGGGTTTAAGTATATGTAGGCAATCACTAAAACTCAATTGTACTCGTACATTCTCTCTCAAATGTTATTCTCGAGTATTCTTATCCATCATAATTTGATATCGGGATAACTTCTAAATTCTTTCATAATCATACGTCAAATCAAGCGTATTGAACTACAAGTGACCTAAATTCTCATATAGCTTGAGATATGTAGGAATCCATTTCTAGTGCTCAGCCATAAATCCTAAAGTCCATACCAAAAATACATTTCCAAAGGTTGAAGATGTGGTAAGACAAAATTGGATTCGTCAATTTCATTTGCCTCGAATTACTTTCATCAATCCAAGTCAAATGAGTGACAACTGTTGACACCCAATTTTGGATGTCCGCAATATAAATTAATTATCGAGCTTCTTCAATTTCAAATGACTTAAAATAATTAGTTTTATAAAAAAAAAATTAAAACAAAGTACTCCTTTCGTTTAAAAAAGAATGAGACTATTGTCTTTTTAGTTTTTTTAAAAAAAGAATGACCCCTTTCCCTTTTTTGCAACTCTTTAACTTTAGCTCTCCACGTGACATGTTTAAGACCACCAACTTAAAGGGCATACTGGTACATTTTACATGATTTTAATTTAGTACCACAAGATTAAAAAATCTTCTTTCTTTTGTTAAACTCCGTTTCAAGTTAAAGTAGGTCATACTTTTTGAAACGGGGAGAGTAGTTTGTAAGTTAAATACCTTTATCACCTTTTGTAAGTTGTGTGCGTGTGTGTGTGTGTGTGTGTATATATATATATATATATATATATTAGTTTTATTTAAATATTTTGTCAATCGGTTTGATTTAAGTGGTAATTTATATTTTAAATTAATTAGTTTACAATTAAGTTAGTTATTTTATTTTATCAAGATTAAGAAGCTCATTAATTAATTTATATTAATTCGTCCTATTCAATTATTACTCGAATTCATAAATTTAATTAATTTGACTAAGTTCTTAATTTCAATTGGCTACAATTTCAATCAATTAGGCAAAATCCTCAATTCAAAACTAACCATTCTATCTCCTTGAACCCACTTGGCTAATAAGATTGGGCCTTATTTTTCAATTCTTCAGTAGTCATTTGATGCTTTTCAAGTCCAACAACACAATTTTCACGTGCAGCCCACCAGTCTAATCCATAATCCATTACCATAAGCCTAATAAAATCAATGAAAAATTATATATAATAGCAAATTAATAACCTAAAATAAATGGAGTAGCAAGGGTTTGATTTTATTGTGCTCCATAGCAAACGTTAGCTAAAGTTTGTCAGGCGTCTCTCTCCCAAAAATATCGCTCGCCACTCTCCATTTTCGCTCGCCTCTCTCGCTTTGTACACAGAAGTGTATAAATCTTGTTTCTGTTTTGTATAAAGCGAGAGAAATGTATATACACATGCAAAAATATATATCTTCGTGTATACACTTAATTATACAATTTACAAACATTTTACTTCAAATATTGCAAAGAAAAAGACTAATGAATTATACAATTGTGAATTATACAATTGCAGTGAAATACAATTTTTTCTAACTTTATACAACAGAAGTGTATATATTGTGTTTCTGTTATTTTATAAAGCGAGAGAAAAACATATATCTTCTTGCTATACACTTATAATTATGCAATATACATACATTTTAATTCGATACAACTGTATGCAAAACAAATTTCATAAAAATATTGCAGCGAAATAGGCAGCGAATTATACAATTGTGCATTATACAATCGCAGTGAAATAGGATAGCGAATTATACAATTGCAGCGAAATAGGCCAGTGAATTATATAATTTAGGTCAGCGAATTATACAATTGTATATATATAGCAAATTATACAGTTTTATGTTTGCTATGAAGCGCAATTATGTAAACTTTGCTATAGTATACAAATATGAATTTTTTGTTTGCTATATATGAAAGTTACCCTAAAATCAACCCATCAACATCAATCCAACATACATAAAACAACCATATACATATATGCACATACCGACCCGACCCCATACCCGTACCCAAACCCTTGTACGCGTCTTCTTCTTCTTCTAGCTGAAAACCCAAAAATCGACCAAAAAATCCCACACTACCTTGCAGAACCCATACCTAGTAGCCTCAACGTCAAATCCTCAAGTCTCCTTTTGCCCCTTTTTAGGGATTTCCAGATCTCTTCACTGTTGCCTTAAAAAAAGAGCAAAGAAATTCAAATTTCAACTTCGATTTCCCCCTCTTTCAACACCAATCTCATCCTATAAATATCTATTTCTTTCAATATTTAGGAAAGATAAAGTTTTAGAAAGGATTGGAGAAAAGAAGCACAAAAATTGCTTACTAAATATTTATATATAGATTTCTTTTTCTCTCTGGTTTGCCCCCTAACTGAAATTTTCTGGAGCTCATCGGAGCTCACATGTGGTGTTGTATAGCTTCACGGTCAAGCTCGGAGTCTCACCACGCTGCCCGAAAAAGGTAACCTTGCCTCCTCTTGTATTATTTTTCAATGTTGCATGTTGTGTGAGTTCAACACTTGATACAAGGTCTGTTAGTTATGGTATTTGGATATTTTGTTTAACTCTTGCTTTAATCTTGTTTTCCTGTGAGTTTTGGACAGTAAGCGTGAGTCCAGCATTCAAGCATTTGTGAATGTTTATATTAATATTATATATTAGTCGTTATATTTGTTAGCTCAGTTTTGTATCACCATTGTCAGTTGAACTGCTGCTTCGTCTCACTCGAAATGACATGATGGTTATCTAGCTTCAACTTAGAATTTGCTTACTGTATGGTTATGTTTCTTCATGGTTTGCTCGCGCCATTGGCTTTGTCATCTATCGTTTTGAATTTTCATATATGTTAGCCTAATCTCGTCGAATATATCTCTTTCATGTTGGTCGTTTTTCTCTTGTATCTCGGCTATTGATGTCGTGTTTGTCCTCACTGTAATCTCACTTCAAGTTGTCTCACTGTAATGTCATGTTGAACTGCTTTAGCGTCAAAAATGTGAATATGAACCTGATCATCTTCTTTCATTTCCTAAGTTTAGCTGGATGAGTTATAGTGTTACTCATTATGCACAAAGCTTTCATTCAATATTGGGGTTGTTCCTCATTTATATCAATTTTGTCCCTCACTTATGTGGCTATTTTTCATGTTAAGCGTGTTTATTTTTGTCTTTAGTTCTGTTATAATAAGATCTTATGTGTAATATCCTTTCATCTCAGGTTAACAATGTATTCTTAGTATATCTTTTCTCGTATCTTGTAAGTTAGTCGTTATATATTTCCATTCTTTGTTCTTGGGCACTAGCTAGTGCTTTGAGAGCATGCTTGTTACTTTCTTTAACTTTCCTGTTCATCCCCTCCAGTAGTCGATTTAAGGTGTTAAACCATGCTTTTATCATAATAGAAGGGTCATCGTGATTAGTTTAAATATAGTTCCCCTACTCATGCATTTATTAATGTCTAAATATGACCATTTGTTGTACGCTTGTATCCTCTGTTAAGTTGACGTCACTAGTATTTTTTTTTTTGCTTTACTTTGTGGATTGTAAATGAAGAAGTGATCCATCAAATTTTGCTCATTAGAAAAATTATTGTGGTAACATTTGTTTATTAACATAAAGTTTGAGTTTTGTTATAGTAATTATATTGGACTAGTTTCAATTTGTCCTATGGGTTTGAATACTTTATTTTGATGCTCTTATAAATAGGTAAGTTATGTATTAATTGTGTTTGTGCTAAAGTTACTGTTACCAACGGTTTAGCTTAATCATCATATGTAGCATGTTGTTAACTTTTCATTAAGGATGTCTTTTATTTTTTTTGTCCTTTGTAGATCACTTCCTTTTTGGGTTATTGTTTCAGACATATCAAATCCGACCCGAGTCCTCACAAACTCTATCTGATCGCCTTGCCATACAATGATTGGCACATGGAGGCCTAATTTACATTCATCGAGTCAGCCAGCCTTGAGGAATCGAAGAACAAGTCTTTTAAGTTGAAGAAAAGTTCTCGGAAAGTAGAAAAATGAGTTGTATACATCCGATATACTTTGATATATATCATATGTATACAACAAGGGGAATTGGGTCAAAACCCGAAAATTCCAGCAAAATTGGCCCAAAAAGGGGGCCCAAATTCAATCTCTCCATTTCTCTTAACTCATTTAATTGTGTGGTTATTTATTACTTTGTTGTGTACTAACTCTAACTTTAGAACTATAAATTTCCAAAAGATGAACGACATTCTTTATGTTGGTTTATTTAAATATAATTCACTTTTATCAACTCTTACATTTTTATTCAATATACTTAACCAAAACATTTTATTTATTTGTCAATTAATTTAAAATGATTTTCATGCTCAAATCAACCAATTTAGTTTAAATTATTGTTTTACAAATGAATCAAGTAAATTCTAAGTAAATTTTAGTTTTATTAAAATTCACTTGCATTTCAATTCAAATGTTTTAACTAAGTACTAGTTTTTTAAAATTAAAAAAAATTGTTCTTTTAAATATTTTCTCAATTGAATCAAATATTTTAAATTAATACTATTATGTTTATATCAAATTATTTTCCTAAAAAATAACTAAAAACATTTAGCCTAGGTTGTAGGATAACCGCAGGTAAGCGGACGCTCCAAATGCCTTAAAAACCTTCTTGAAGTGTAAATAAGAACCTCTTACCCATTTTCTCTAAATTTATAAAGATTTAATATGTTAAAATCTTTTTAAATTAAGTTTTCTTAATTTCTTCAAAAACATTAAGTGACAACTCTTTTCTAAGTATTTTTCAAATTGTTTTATACTTAGAAACATTTCAAATGTGATTTTTCTAAAGATGGTTAAATCATGGGGTAAAAACTATGATCAAGAACCTAGTAAGTAGGTGGACTGAGATGGTGGTTGGTGGTACGGGTACTAGTGTAATTTTGAGGTATTTGAGAGAGGTTAAAAGTGGAGAAGCGAGTGGTCTTACTGCATGTTCATCCTTGATGTCTATCAGCACGTGTGGTTTTGTAATGATACCAATATTGCCATGCCTTTTGTGGCATAGATTGGATGCAAAGTTAGTGATGTTGCATTAGGTGCAGACGAATAAATTCTCCAACAAACTAATATTTTTCCTTTCGCATGGTGGGAGCCGTGTCTTTTCTTTTTTATTCCCTATCTATACTCTTAGTAGCTCTTGTACCTATTTACACTAGATTTCTGGGGTGCAAATTGCTTTACAAGTCTTAACTTGGAGTCGTTTAAATACTCTTGTTTTATAAAGTTATTATATGATTTTCTTTTATTTGTTCGCTTTCTTAATTCTCCGCATGTTTTGACTATTGGGATATGAGGTTTCTCCTATTTAGGTGTTAGTATGAAGGTGCCCCTACGGTCCAGTGGGTTGGGCCGTGACACCCATTGAGTACCTTGATGGTTGTGAGATCTTTTGATACAAATAAAGATTCATTCCAACCTCAAGAAAAGGATGAAGAATTTTTGGATGATGCAACTCCATATATCAATGTTATTGAAACACTAATGTAGCTTACCAATAATATCCGACTAAATATTTGTTTCGTAGTAAGTTTATTAAACAGATTCAACTCATTTCCAATGAGAAGTCATGGGAAATGTGTTACACATATATTCAGATATCTTCAAGGAACAATTGATATGAGATCGTTGTGTTCTAGTGATCCAAGTCAGAATTGATTGATTATGCATATGTAGGATATTGGACTTACCCGCAAAAAGTTCGATCTCACACATGTTATTTATTCACATATGGAGGTACAATTATATCATGGTGTCCGATGAAGAAAATAATGTTTTGTCTTTCTTCAAATAATGTAGGGATAATAGCCACTCAAGAATTTAGCCGAGAGTGTGTATGATTGAGATTAATGACTCAACACTCTTCGCAATCATCCAGTCTTGTGCAAACAAAGCTTTCAACAATATTATACAAATATAATTCTTCTTGAATAGCTCAATTAAAGGGTGGATACATCAAAGGAGACTGAACAAAACATATTTCATCTAAGTTCTTTTTCAAATCATCTTCTACAAAATGGTGAGATAAATGTTCAATAGATTCGTGTGAGTGATAATCTTACAAATTTATTCACTATGGCATCGCCAACGTCAATATCTGAGAAGATACGATGTACAATTAGAATGCGATGTCTCCAAAATAATAAATAAAATTTAAACGGGGGAGTAAAAACACGTTGTACTATTTTTCTATTATCCAGTGTTTTGTCCCATTGAGTTTTGTTGGTAAATTTTTTAATGAGACAATACTCAAGGTGTATTACAAAATATGTGTAATCTTTTTCCTTCACTAGGCTTTTTCCCACTGAATTTTCTAGTATAGATCAATGAGGCACAATATATATAAACATCCAACGGGGAGTATTACAATTCAATTCAATTGCGAATGTTTCTTTTCATCAAGTACCGAACAAAATGTATTAATTTAATGTAAGCCTTAAAGATGTACTAACATATCTTGATTTAAGGTTGTAAACAGATAATTTCTTTTTCCTAGAAAAGGGTATTCATCACCCTTAAGAAAGATACACTTGAAGAGAGAAAAAAAAACTCTATACTCTACACTTCCCCTTACTATTTGTCTTCCTTTCTTGTTTGAACATTCTCGTAATTCCCTCTTGTTTTACAATAGCTTGAACTTGTTTTTTTTTGTTAAATTACTTTTATTCTTATTTATCAAGATTTTAATAAGTATATAACAATAAGAATTTCATACTTGTTGGTTGAATATTAACTTTGATTTTATGTATGATTTTTAGACCTTATAAAGTTGAGTTTTACATGAATGACCATGATCAATGCTTTGATGGTAATAGCGACAAAAAAATATAAGAATATATTTTAATTTATTAAACTGAATTAAAATCAATTGAACTAGTAATAATAAGGAATTATATGCCTCTTCAATAATTAAAATTATATAAGAATAAAACTTATTTCAATTTGAATTGAAATATATTTAAATTTGTAATAAAATAAATTACTCAAAGAATATTAGAGTTTGTTATTTCTGTTTCTATTTTATTTTAAAAAGTATATGTGACACATAATTGAAATTTACGAATGGCTATGCGGGCGGTGAAGTGTTTCCTAGACCATGGATCCCTTAATGGTTCGTGAAGCTTTTTTTTTGTAAGTCACCCCATCAATGTTTAAGTTGGGTCATTTTGGTCTTTCCCCTATGTCGTTTTAGCCTCTATTCTAAGACTAAACCACAATGTTTTCACCTAGTTAAGGGCTTATAAAATATCAATAAATTCTTTTACGTTCACTAACATTTCAACTCAATAAAGCAAGGTTAAACTAGGGTTTCGAGCGTTCTTGGAGTTTCATCCATTTCATTAAAAAAAATTGTTCTCCTAGGTATGTAAGGATATCATAGTGTTGTACATGTTCGTCCTCAAACCCTATATTTCAAATCAGTAAAAGAGTAATCTAGGGTTCTGATGAGCGGTAGATTTGCATTAATTTTAGGTTTATTTAGCTCAATATTTTGTGTCTTGATTTCCTAATATTTTCATTTTCTAATAGAATAATGATGATTTGGAATTATGAAGGCAAGGACTAATGTTTGAAAGAAGAGACAAAAATACAAAAATAAGTGCAAAGTGAACATTGTTGATTGTCTGGCATAAAGGGTGAATCGCCTAATGATCATGACCTCGCCCAATCAGACAGTGCAAGGCACTTGTTGCTACTAATGAAGGTTGACAAACTCTAATATAAAAGGCAGTGCACCTAGTGAGAATGATTAATGTCGCTGAATCAGCCATTAGTTTCATATTTGGGTAAAATTTTTAAAAATTATAAATAGCCCAAAGAGTATTGTTAATGGGAGAGTTTGAAAACAATATTTAGAGATAAATAGTCTTATTACATAGAGCATTTTACCTTAGAAGAACATTTTTTCTCTAGCTTTTAAGGTCTTACAACTTTGTAGTTAAATTTGACAATTGAAGTTGAATCCAAAGTGGATTTCCTCTTTCTTGCTTGATTTCATGTTACCCATGAGTGATAGGATGAAGTATAATTTATTTACCTTTGGTGATGATTGGATGTTACCCATGAGTGAATTGAGTATTCTTGAAATAAGTAGTATAGTTGAGTTCTGATTAAGTAGTATAGTTGAGTTCTGATTATTGAGTATTGGTATAATGTTTTAGATATCCTTGTTTTGAGTTGTTCATATCTATATTTCATAATGAACCACTTTGACTTGTAAATTTTAAGAATATTTTAAAGCGCCAACCATTTATCTTAAACTGGGTTATTGAAAAAGTAAAGAAGAGTTTGACTAGAGTTTTAGCGAAGATTTGAGCAAGACTATAAGGGAACTAAGTATATCCTAAATGTTTTATTTTTACATAAAGAAAGAGAGTATTATTTTGAGAAAAATAAAAGAGTTTTTAGAAAGATTGTGTACAGAGTAATTACCTCTTAAAGAGGCATCTTTTAGCAATTATCTCAAATAGAGAGAGAGAGAGAGACAGAGTATGTTTTCTATATTTGAGCATGAATATATATATTATTGAGAGTATTATTTAGCACTGATATGGGGATGAGTTCAAACAACTCAAAATCCTCATAAACTATGTCTTTCTAACATGGATCTATGATCATAATTTTTAGATCAATTTTTATTTCTTAATGGATTAATATAGTTGAGTGGGTCTATACCCCGACATGGTACGAGATAGTTCTGGTAGTGTAGGCGAGATGTTGTATCATCACGTATTTCATAGTGATTATTTTTGGCTAGAGAATATCCTAATAGAGTTAAAGTGTATTTTAAGATATCACTTATTATATTTAGTTCAGATATGATTAATTACTTTGTAAAGCTTTAAATTATTGAATTCCTTTATTTATTGTAGTCATTTCATTAGTTATTTCACCTTGAGTATATTACATATTCGTACATTCAAGTATAGTGATGCCATTTGACCTTCGTCTTTATAATGCAGATACAAGTGTTTAGGATAATCAATAGGCACTCTATTGAGATCACCAGATAGTTCTAGTGAGCCTCCTTGAATTTCATTAGACTTCACATTACTTTTAGTTTAGTTGTTTTGAGGTGTCGGTGATCTTGTTCCGACATCTATCTAAAACAATAGAGGCTTCATAGATAGAAAGAGTTCAGGAGTCTTTTAGTACTTTCTTTCCTTTAATGTTGTTTGGCAAACTATTATAATTGTTGTAATGAGTACTTTCAGACATTCGAGTTGACTTTTATTT